ATATAATTCAATTACCAGAGCCTTGTATGGTTAATCAGAATGCCGCTACACTACCATATACTTTAGTCGGAGACGACATATTTCCTTTAAAGACATGGCTCATGAAACCTTATCCAGGTAAAAGCTTAACTTTACACAAGCGAATATATAATTACAGACTATCTAGAGCTAGAAGGACAATTGAGAATACTTTTGGAATTTTGGCAGCAAAGTGGCGTATTTTCCGCCGTCCTATACGTGCATCTCCTGAGAATGTGGAACGAATAATCAAGGCATGTGTTTGTCTTCACAATTATTTACGCTTAATGGACAATGCATCATATACTCCCAGTGGTTTTGTTGACAAAGAAGGTGAAAATGGAGAAATCATACCAGGTGACTGGAGGAATACTTTGGCATCAAGTGGTAGTACTGGTTTACAAAGTCTGAGTAATGTCAGTGGCAATCGCTACTGCTTTGATGCTGTTCAGACAAGAGATAATTTTGCAATTTATTTTAATAGCGTAGATGGGCAAGTACCATGGCAAGTTAATCATGTAACACAAGACTCTCGCACATTGTAACTGGATGAGAGTTATCTAATAGTAACTATACATTGTATATATCCCAGCAACTATTCCTCTACTCTCTCTCTTTCTCCTTTCTTTATATATACTTATTCTATTGCCCCATCCTGCTTATTATTATTATTATTATTATTATTATTATTATTATTACAACATAACAGTTATCTTGTTTAAAAAGCAAGTTAAAATTGTTTAATATATAGTATAATACATTGTACTATTTGTCAAAGCACTAACACTTTTTAAAGTTTAATTTGGTCTTTTCACTATTCTATTATGCATAACTGTACATGTAATGTTATAAAGGATTTATGCTGTTTCTGTTACTATATGACTATTGGCACTAGTTTGGCCACTGCTGATGAAATTCGGTACTGAAAAGTAGCTGTTGAATATGAATTTTCGCCTGCTGTTTTAATGGTGGAGGAAGTCGTTTCAGTTGTGGTACCAGACTCCTGCAAAACAATTCATCTTCATCAGTAACGTCTTCTTGGCCTTTCTTCACATCATTTGGATGCTGTTCCAAAATTTTAGTTATACTTCCAATACTTTTAACAAGAGCTTCATCAATTTTACTCTTAGAATTACTTTTAGACCATGGCCTTTTTTCTCCAGCTTTCATCTTATTTGCAACAATATCATCACTTCCACTTTTGTCGCTGATGCATAGAACTTGTTCATTATCATCAGTATCACATGTATCGACATCACTTTCATGTTCGTTATTGATGTTTGTCACTGTAGGTCTATGGTCTATGTATATATTTAACCAGTCAAGGTTTTCAAATTCTGATATGCAAGGGACATCTTTTCTGCCAGAACCTGTTGGCATATGCCTCTTCTTTTTCAAATATCTACCATATGAGGTTCTGATAGATTTGTAGCGCTTCTCTGCTTCTTCTGCAGATGCTCCAAAAGCTTTTCCGACAGATGTCCAGGCATTTTGCTTTATGTACTTGTTCTTGAACTCAGAACTAAACCTATCGTAAAGAACTGGATATTTCTGCACTTCTTCCATAAAATCTTGTGTAACTCGAATGTTCCTGGTTGTTTTTGGATCTTCACCACCACTATCAACTTTATCAGCCTCTTTAGATGTAGAAAGAGCAGGTGGACCATCAAATTCCGCCATTTTATTTTAATCAATATGGGTGTGGTTTAGTTGCAAAATTGTGCGATTAATGTTCCATAAATTATTTTCGACGCACAACAGTTGCCAGCATCGTAGAGATAGAGCTAGGTCCTATTTCTGCGATTGTGTTAACAAAATCGTACAACAAGCGCAAAGACTGTTTCCATTAAGTTGTGCAACAATTCTGCAACTGTTGTACAACAAATACAACCATATGGGAACCAGCCTATAGTAACGCTACCGCGTTACTAATAACGCTACCGCGTTACTAATAAAAATCAATCAAAAACACATGCAATTTAATCAAAGCATTAATAAAGCACAATATCTAGTTATCTAGTTTTGTATAGTTAAAGAACAAAAAGCTAATATAATGAAACACACTCAACTCAATTTTAAGTTAATTTTGTGTATCAAGTAGTGGTCTTTTCAATTCTTCAACAGCAGTAGTAATAACTGGTTGTTTATTGCTGGGTCGAAAATCGTCAGGTATAACACAGGAGTGACGTTCATCATATTCTTGTGGATTCTCCATATGATCAGCAACCCAGCTATCCTGTAATGATATGATGTCCTCTTCTTGTTCTTGTTCTGTAGGAATCACAGGAACTTTCTTCTTGTGATATGAACGACAAGCTTTTATTATTTTTTGGAAATGGTAAATTGTATAAATTGGTATAATAAGGCCAAAAATAAGAATATCAAAGCCCAGAACTATGTAAATAAGCAGAGAGTAAGCAGGAATAGTGATGCAACCAAGTGCTGCAATTACAATTAAAAGAATAAATTCAGTAAAGTATAGTGTTATCAGTAGCTGTTTCCTTAAATGTAAGCAATCCAATAACTTTTGAAACCATTTGAATCGATAAAACAATATACAAAGTGTTGGTAAGACTATCAGAAACAATAGCACTAAGATTGCCAAAAGCCCCAAAAAACCAAACTCAACAAAATAAATAATGCCTGTATCATAATAGAATCTTGTATGCTTGATGCCATTTTTAATGCTAGGAATGAAGCTCAATATTTTAAAAGAAGTGGCAGTCAATTGAGTAAATTAAAGTATATATATTGATGCTATAGAGTGAGTAAAAGATGGTTCAATGCCAGTCATACTCCAGAAACGAGCCATGCAACGATGAAATGGTCTAGTAATAAATACTACACACTTGTAACCTTTATCATACAATGTCATCCAAACATAGAGTAAGAGGAGGAGAAGCAATGGATAGAATCCTATCACATACCAAAAGGAAATTGATTCTAATGGTGACATATGATCTGATATACATAATGGATAATTAAATAGTAATGGAGTAAAGTCTAAATTGAAGATATAGCATGGTATAGCACTTAAGTGTTGTAATAATGTGAAAGTAATGTCTGTATCACAAGTGTACCAGTGCTCGTAGTTATTAAGGCCATTTATAGACTGAGTGATTGCAATCAATTGAGAACAGAACACCACAGCATTTACTGATCCATTAGTTAGTTGTATATTGAATATTATTATTATTATTACCATGAGTGTCATTGGTATTAGCTCTAGTCCAATAAACAATGTGATACCATATTTGGACGGTTCTGCACAGTCAATGCAAGTTAATCTGTTAATGGGTACTCCAGTATCATTTGTACACATTGATAAAAATTGTTTTGTGCTACTGTCATAACAGCATGATTCTTTATAGCAATATGCACACTTATTGTAAGGATAACTATAATAGCCATAAAAATAGTTATCATAATTATGGTAAATAAAAAGAAGGCTGTACTCAAGAGTACTTGTGTTACAAACTTGTATTGATACTTCACTGCAATTATTGATAATGCATTCCCCATTAACAAAATTGGTGTAAGACCTGCACGTGGGATTCACATATACTGTTACTGTAGTATTAATGCTGAGTGGGCCAAGCGTTTCAATGTATACTGTTGTTTTAATTGGACCAGCATTAATACTATTATCAAAACAATGCGGTTGCAATTCATAGTAATACCAAGAATTATATTGACTTAAATCATAATCATATTCATACTCTGTTTGTTGTTGGATCATTGCATTGCAGCAATAAGAGTGGTTGACACATACATGTAAAAGATTATTCCAGTTATATGTTTTCATATTACAGTTATCAGTCACAGAGACATTGAATCAAGGATATTCACAATTACAGTAAGTAGATTGGCATTGATAGTTCTGGCCATAATCATAGTCATAATCAGAGTCGGAGCACAGTACAGTAAGATTTATAAATTTAACATTCAAAGTCAGATTTGAGCAAATCTCTTGTGCTAGTTGATTGTGTGCAGTAAGATCAAAGGATGGTTCAGTACATGTAACAGGAACATTGTTACAATTATAAAGACTAACACATTCAAATACAATATACCTCAACCAGTTATATGAAGAAGAGGAATCATGTAGACTAGACATGTGATACTAACCTCTTCATATCTACTACCGTCCCTCATACCAGTAATACTCACATTCCTCAGTAGCTGTTGCTCTAGTAGACTAGTAGTGTCTAGTGTATATGTACCAGGAGACAGGTTGATAAGGATACCTGATGAACAGTTGTATTGTAGAGTAGCAGTTCCTTGTATAGCTAGATCAATAGTAGCACAAGGTGTTTGAACTCCTCCAGTCCAACAAGAGGTATTGTTGATACCATGAGATGAACTGACATAGATCCTACACTCCAAACCAGCAGCAGAATATACTAGAACATGCAAGAGAAAGGAGAGAGACAAGAACCACTTTAGGTAGCATCATTCCACCAAATGATTTCTAACTCTATAATAGGGCTAGACTAATGCTTTAATATTATACTGTTCATTCTAAACAGGAACTACCTATACCATAGTTGATTAAATTTTGCTTTAGCATGTCTGGCGACTGCTATTGTTTCAGGTACATTCCTAACAGTATTGATAAGTGATCTTAGTACAATATGTATTACAACTGTTAACTCATTCCTTCATCTTGTACCTGACTGGGACAGTTTGACTGCAATAGCAGTAAGTGATCATCAATAGCCTATGGTGCGTTATTGCTCTTGATGCATTAAAAGTTTAACTGTAACCATACATGTCAGTATGTTTATGTCTAACTATTGTAAATAACTAAGCACTTTTATACATGATACATTCATGATATTATTAAAGACTATACAAAAAACTGCTTCATTCAACTAGCCTCAGTTGTCTCAGTGGTTTATGTTAATGCAATCTTTGTACTATAACAGTATCACATTAGTTGGATTGTGTATTCATATTAGTTAATAGCTGACCTAATGGTAGCTGTCATAACTGACCCACAGACAAGAATAGTGACAGCATCAATCAGTGTACTGTTAACACTCGCAAGTGAGTAATACCATAAATGGTAATTACCGGAAAATACAGCATATTAACATAGCAACCATGTTTTGTTGCATTGGAAACCATAGATTTGAATCATGTATAAAAAATTTCATTTTTGGTTGTATTATGTTTTAATATATTAATTGTTTAAAAAATTTTGATCACAATTAGATTTTTGCTAATTTTTACAGTTGCTCGAAAATCAGGCCAAGTTTTGCCAACATTAAAAAAGCAAGAATTCTAATTTATAATTTTTTGTATGCATATACATGTTTTATGTTGTGTAGAGATTATGATCAAAATTGAATTTTTTACAAATTTTTAGAGTTACTCCAAATTGAAAAGGAGAGAATTTATCATAATCTATAATTTTTTAGATACATATACATGTTATTATAGATTATAGAGTTAAGTGACCATCACTTAAGTAGATAAACAAGAGCAATGAGTAAACAACAGAAGGAGGACATAGTAGACTAGCTATACTAGTAATTAATGTATAAAACAAACATAAACTATAAAAACAATAACTAAGTTTTATATTACTCTTGATGCCAGCTATTCAGAATTCAGTGACTTGCCTAGTCTGGTCCCAGACTATGCATGACTTGCCTTATAATGGTTAAGTTGACCCAAGTGCAAATGAAATGTGTACGTGTTGTTATGAATCTGTATTGCATGTATGTTATGGTACAATAGTTTCTGAGTATGACAGCATATGCTTGACTGGTATTATGCCAATTGTCTATTCACTACTGTTCCTGGTTACACACTACAATTGTATAGTCAATCTTTGTAGTAATTAACTTTAAAAAAACAAAAACAGAACAATTGAGGCACACTACTTTGCTGTTTAAAACATTACACACATACGTTCACGTGACATAAATCTCATAAAAACTAACAGGAGTGTCTTCATCTGCTGTTGCTTGATCTCCACACACCCTCAATTTAATATACTTTAAGGAGACAATATTATTATTAGCGTGTACTTATTTTAGCGATTTTCATGAAACTAACATTTGGCTGGTACTTAATTTAGCGTTTTTGATCATTTGATATTAATATACCTCTAGAAGAATTAAAGGAGAATGATAAAATTAATTTAAATGATAAAATTTAATTCTATTAAGAATTAAAATTTTATCATTATTAAAATAATGATTTGCAATAAAAGATGGGATGGTCTGAGAGCTTCCATTTGAACATGGACGCACATAATCTGAATAAGAATGATCAATTAAACCATTCACTAGTGTCCAGACATGTTGATGAGGAGGCCCATGAGTGATACTAATCATAGGCGTAGGAATGATTCAAAAGTTGGGGAGGCTCAACATTAAAAAGCATGACTTAGCATGTGAACTGGGGGGGGGGCTAAGCCCCTGTTGCTAAAAAGTTGGGGGGGCTTCAGCTCCCCCAGCTCCCCCCCCCCCCATTCCTACGCCTATGCTAATACCATCAACATAATAAGAATTGATATCATTCGATCCAATAAAAAATGCATTTGATATTGACATCCTGTCACAGTAGAACAAGAGAGTAACTATAACAATGAACTATCTGTTTTATGTCTTTAACATAATTTTTAGGCAATCATATCTTCAAAACAAAGAAAGTTCTTAAGTGATTTT